TCTTATCTGAAGAAAAAAAAAGAAAAAGATTGTGCGTTCCCCGTAGAGAAAAGAAAATTTGTGCGTCGCGTGGAATTTCGATATATCGAAGTTTGACGCGCGACGCAGCATTTGAGGCTATTCCCGTACTTTCTTGCGCGCTACGCGTAATGGTTAAAATATCGAAATTACTCGCAACGCACAACATTTTCCGTGAAACACTCAAATTTTCCTGTGCAGCGGAGATTTACTGTGTCGCGCGTGTATTTTCCTGTGTTGCGCACGCGTTTTAGGTTTGGTCCCTAACGGCGTTCCATAGTAGAGTCCCTTTATACCCAGAGTAACGACAACTCGATTATCAGCTGACTGGCAGCCGACCTTGGCTGGCCATGGAGGCCGAAACTAGTGCACTCAAACGAACGATATTGGGGGATAAGGATCAGGAATCCTGCGATGTCTGTCACACAGAAACAACAACATCAACAAATTGATCAATTAAAAAGAAAATGAGATTGGTTTGTGAATAATTTCTTAATCTATTTTCATTTTGGACCGATGGCAATAACAATTTACTCTTGATAAACCACAATTAGGTAATATTTTCATTACTCTTGTTCACATACGAGGTACCGCCATCTTGGTGCACTAGTTTCGGCCTCCATGAGCGAGAACCAATCAGAATTGGATTTTTTTTTAGGCCACTTTCAGCCCAATCCTGGCCCAACCAAAAGTGAGTTGTCGTAACTCTGGGTATAAAGGGACTCTAATAACCTGTAGTAGAGTGTACCTTGAGGCAATAGGTAGGTCTTTCGGTGGTCACTGGAGCGGTGCACTACGGTGTAAGCCGGGTTACGGAAAACTATTTTTCGCAGGAACTCAGGAACAACGATCCCACATTCCCACTTATATTGCGAGTGCGACTCTATTGTGCTCTATGAACTTGACTCAGCACAAATTCGATCCTCCCTGCGCTAGGTTATGTGTTAAATGAAAAAGAACAGTAATACTCGAATAGCTCGTACTATGCCACTTATTTCCTACGTTCATCTCCTTCACTGATAATAATACCAATAACGTCTCCAAGAAGTGGCTTGTGCTGCAGGTAAAATCATCTTTCTTATTCCTGATAACCCTTGGTTCATCAGTTAGCACGGTTTTTATTAATTCAAGCATCTCTTATCATTATTTCAGAAATATTTTAGATTTATTTATTAGTAGTTGATGTCATTTCAGTTCACTCTTTTATGCCACGGTATTTACACTTTTTTACATATTTACATATTCACTCAATCTACGAAGATGCTTCCTAAGCATTACTTGCCTGCTTTCTGTGACCAAGCTTCTGTGCTTCTTTCTGTTACATAGAGGTCCCGGGTTCGATTCCTGGGCAAGTGTAGAGTACCTGTATAGGGAGAGTAGCGACAGATCGGTTCATGGAGGGCTTAGGGCCCAAAAGTGCAGCCACCCTTCTGAGCAACTTCTAACACACAAAATTTCACTGCCAGCCTACAGATTTCAATTCTAACCAAGATGGCTAAGAATGTACATAAATGAGCGTTCTTTCGCAAAAATAAGTAAATTTATGCAAAAAGTAAACCAAATACATGCTTTCTAAACGACGGTTCGTAACAATTGTATTTGTAAATCGCTCTGGACATTCGAAATTCATAGGTTGGCTGCCCTTTTGGGCCCTAACTTTATTCGCGGAGGCATCGGTGAAGGCCTGATGGACTTTCGGAGTTTCAGATCTGTCGCTACTCTCCCTATACAGGTACTCTAGGCAAGTGGCCTGAGTTTGATGCTCTTGGGCAATGGTCACCTAGGGCTGGGGTAATGAGTGTGGGATTGACCGATAGGCTATTTAAGACTTGGTAAAAATTAAGAAATTAAACTTTAGATCACGAAGAACTTAAGTATCACCTTGCTCAAATGACATGGACACCACTGATCAAAAGAACGCAGCTTTCTCAGCCTCTGCAATTTTCAGGGCATGTTCACAATGTGGTCACAACAGTGCGGTTGGGAACGAATTGCACTCTCGACGGAATATCAATTTGCACAGTTCCATTAGTTGTAGCTCAGGGGTCGAATATTGTCAGTCCTTTCACCTTACTCAAGTACACTTATCAATGGATGTTGCATCTCCATGTGAAGGAGCCGACAAAATTCCGCAGCAGGAGGAGCAATGCAGAGTATTTTACAAGAATGACTCGTCAAAAAGTCAAAAAGTGCTACTGGAGCTGTGCCACCAAGAGTACACAATAACTCAGCATTTAGACTAAATAATTTTGTAGTTACATTCCATAATGAGCGTTATGTACGGGATACAAAAAGGGCATGAGTATTTTCCTCATAAGATAACTCCGGATAGGAGTTGGATAACTCAGTGAGATGTGCAACAATAATAAATCAGAAAAAATCTATGTAAAAGCCAGCACACTTTGAGCCACTAAAGAAACTTAAACAGCACCATGGGTAGGACAGGCATTTAAACCTAATCTGCTTTAAGATAATGGAGTGCATTTTTTGACACTTCCTGGACAGTGTTGGTCAATCAACTACCTACAACATCCACAGAAACAAAAAAAAGAGAAAAAAACCCAAGTCTCCAATACAAAATTACCTAACCATCTTCAGTGCGCAGAAATAAATCTAGTTTCTAGAAATAATCTAGTTTCACCACTGACATGTATTACTGCAGAGGAGTTTGAATGATGGAATCGCTAATTAGTTTCTCTCTGTTTTAGGTTTCTTGCTTTATCCAATATGGCATCTGAATGTGCAACTGATGTTGAAATGAAGAATGTTGACAGCCCAGCTGGTGAGGGAGATTCCGGTGAGAAAAAAGATGTTAATGCCATAACAATTCATGATATCCGTGAGCACACTCGTCAAATTGAAAAAGCAGTTCAGACGAAAGAGCCAAGGTTTGTCCTGAGAGTTCTGCGATCCCTGCCAAACACACGCAGAAAACTCAATCCTACAGTTCTTCACAGTCTCATTTCTGGTTTTTACACGCACTCTTCTTCTGAGAGAGATTCACTTCTGGCTTTCGTTGAAGATCCATCAGAGAGTGTGAATATTCAAAAATTTAGAACCGGTAAAAATGCATCGGCCCCACTATTGCCAGAGATTGACATCTATATTCATCTCTTAACCCTTGTTAGATCCATCGATAATAAGGAGTACGCAAAGGCAGTGGTTTGTTCAGATGTGCTCATGGCCAAAGTAACATCTCAGAATCGCCGCACATTAGACTTGCTAGCCGCGAAGTGTTATTTCTACCATTCACGTATTTATGAAATAACAGATCAACTTGAGAAGGTCCGTGCCTTTTTGCACTCAAGATTACGAACAGCAACACTTCGCAATGATTTTGAAGGACAAGCAGTGTTGATCAACTGCTTGCTTAGAAACTATTTGCATTACAACCTTTATGACCAAGCGGATAAGCTTGTCTCAAAATCAGTATTCACTGAAGCTGCAAGCAATAATGAGTGGGCAAGATTTCTGTACTACCTGGGTCGGATCAAAGCAGCAAGGTTGGAATATTCTGCTGCCCACAAACATTTGATGCAAGCAATGCGGAAAGCGCCTCAAGTAACAGCTGTTGGCTTCAGACAAACTTGTCAGAAGTTAGATGTTGTTGTTGAGCTGTTATTGGGTGATATTCCTGACAGACAAATATTTCGTCAGGCAACATTACGTAGAGCCCTAGCACCTTATTTTCAGCTAACCCAGGCAGTAAGGATGGGGAACCTTCAACTTTTTAGTGAAGTTTTGGAAAATTTTGGACCAAGATTCCGTGCAGATCACACATTTACGCTAATTCTCCGTCTTAGGCATAATGTCATAAAAACTGCTATCCGAGCTATTGGTCTATCCTATTCTCGTATCACACCTGCAAATATAGCTCAAAAATTAGGCTTAGAGTCTCCAGAAGATGCTGAGTTCATTGTTGCGAAGGCTATTCGCGATGGTGTCATTGAGGCGACCCTCGATCCTGAACATGGTTACATGCAAAGTAGGGAGCCCACAGACATTTATTGTACCTTAGAGCCCCAACTTGCGCTCCATCAAAGAATTTCTTTCTGCTTAGAATTACACAACCAGAGTGTAAAAGCAATGAGATATCCACCAAAATCTTATGGGAAAGATTTAGAATCGGCTGAAGAGCGACGAGAACGTGAACAGCAAGATCTAGAACTGGCCAAAGAAATGGCTGAAGAAGATGATGATGGTTTTCCTTAAAAAGCGTGTCAGTTTCATTCAGCAAGTTTTAAAACTTTTTACTTTTTTATAATTTAATTTTAAGGAAGAAAAAAGAACTAAAGAAAAAATGTCTGCATTTAACTCAACTTATATGTCTAAAATTGCTTCACTTTTTACTGTCATTAGCTCTGGAACTATCTTTATTAAATGCAACAAACCAGAATTGGAACTTGGAAAAAATTATCCAAGCTACCAGCGTAGTCCTCTGTTCTATTCATTTTGCTCTTCATGTTCGTTTTGGAACCAGTTCATTGTACTATTTCATGTGTAATAAATCAGTAATAAAAGTAATAATAACAACATTAAAATAATGGAGGAAACCGGTTTTTTTTGTTTTAGCTTTTTTATTAAATTACCTCAAACTATGTTTTGTGTCTGTAATTTGTTGAAAATGAATTGAAAGGACCTCTCTTTGTAAAAAAATTCATAGAAATTTGTCCCATTTCCAGTAAATACATTGTTCACATGGTCCGTAAAGCCTTGAAAAGTCCTCAAATACTTATCCTTGAATTCCAGGATTTTGCCTCATTGTATCTACTTGAAAGTTTTCTGAAAGTTCTTGAATTTTACATCATCCGGTGATTTTGTGTCTTTTCTCTCACTGTCCTGTGTGAAAAAGAATTAGGATACAGTTTTAAGAGAATTTAACACGTATTTTCTAGATGTAGTGATGAGTAATTCACAGCAATTCATGGGTTTCAACCAAAGACATAAAGATGGAGGGCTAAAAGCAAAAAATCAAGCTTCTTTTCTCTACTATTGACTGTCGATTGGCGGCGAAATCGGGACAATTTTGAAATTCAAATTTAGGGCGGGAACTAAATAAAATTGCTGAAACGAAGTATTCTAGGTTGATTTTTGCCCAAATTCACTTATACCCACTCATATTTTTTTAACTTTAGGTTAGCTTTGGTCCGTCGTCGACCGATTAATTTCATTTGGGAGTAACTGTCATCTAGAACTGTAACAGCCTGTTTGAACCTGCAGAACCACCATGAGCAGAAGAAAAACTAACTTTATCGGAGATTACTGCCTGTTACCGAGCAAAAGTAGGTGTATTATAGTAGGACGCAGTCCCAACTTTCCTAATATATTCGTTTTAGGCATTTAAAATACGTTTCGAAGAAGAAATGTGGAAAAATCAAGAGGACAAGTTCAAATCAAATTTCCGTTTGCCGCCATGGATTCCCGCGCTCATTTACACACTCACACAAGCACCCAGCGCCAAACCAGGCTTCACTTTTTCCCCGTGCTTTTAGATACGAGCACTCCGTCTTTATGTCTTTGGTTTCAAGCCCGTTACAGATTGAGTTGATCAATTTTATTGTGAAACTTTTAAAAAAGAACCCCTCTCGAATTAGTGGAAAGTAGTTGGAAAACTTCTTTTGCTCAGTCATGGCCAAGCCTCTGTTGAAAGGGGATTTAGTATTAACAGAAAAATTGAATATCTGAGAGAAGAATCGTATGTTGTGCAAAGACCAATCCATGACTTTCTTCAACATATTGGATCCTCAAATATTGCCAAGCTCACCATCACTAATGCTCTTCTTAGACGAAATGTCTGTCCTGCTGCTAAGAAGTATAAAGAAGTCGAAAAATGTACTCCTCAGAGTGCTGCTTGGTAAATCTCCAGTATAGTGTTTCATTTTCTAAAGAGAAACTAACCAACAGGTTCTTTTGACGTTTTCAGTTAACTTTTTTCACACTTTCTACAAAAATCACACGAATTGTAGAGAAAAATTTTGATCAGTTTTCCTCAAAGAAATGAGAACATAACTAGAGATTCCCAAACATATTCCAATTGAGATATTCATTTTAGGCATTTAGCCATTGATATATGAGAATGCTAGAAATCTTGATATTATAACATTCCTGCATGCAGCATCAAAATTTCATTGAGCCAATACGGGTTTTTGGTTACTAATTTGTTTTCAGATCTTTCTCAGAAAACAGTGTCTGCTAGCCTCTCTGCTGAGGACGCTCTGGTTTAATTTCTGCGCATTATGTGTTCTTTCGCATCGATCCCACCTTATGAGGTTAGGCAAGGTTACCTAAACTTATGGAAAGCTGAAAAATACCTAAACTTTTACACCAGTGTAATGGGGTTTTCCTGAACAATAATATTTGTTTCTAAAGAGTGGAGATCTTACATAATACATGAAATTAGGAGAAAAACGTAAAAATAACTTCGTCTCTGGCAAACTCATAAAATGTAATTCAATTGTTGGCCAGAAACGTAATACGTAGACCTGGCGTAGGGCTTCATAGAGATCAAATAGGTTCACTTTTATGGGTGATTTCACGATAATAGGAATAGTCGTGTCGCCGTGGGTTATTAACGACATAGGGCAAAACGATTGAAAACCAAATTAATTAATCAATAGGAATGATGTCCCTGAACCTATCCATGCTAAAAAATATGATGAATTATTATTATATTTAATAATATGAGACTTTAAAGGCCGAAAATGTCCGGTCGGTTACGCGTCGCCAACCCCGATTTTGAAGCAAAAGAGCAATTTGCGGTAACATATCAGTACTGATCATGAACTCTTTGGCAATATTTGCTGAAAAGAGACTCTAGTGTTCAAGAAAATTGCCAGTTTGAACTGAAATGTTTATTATTGAGCGAGAAAAGTCATAAGAAAGAGGTGTCGCCACATTTGGCAACAAATTTTTGCAGTTGTATTAAGTGCAGTGTTTATCTCGCTAGATGGAGTCAGGAGTTTCAAAACTGCCATCAAATTGTTCGCTGAAGTCTTCTTGACAAAACCATTACTGATAAGTCAGTTTTTTTTACAATGAAAACTTAAATTATTATGAAAACCAGTGATTTTTACGTGTGTAGCACTAATTCCTCACTACGCAAAAACCTCAATTTAATAGTATTAAACTAAAACGAAGTCTCCAAAGTTTAGAAAACTTTTAAGGCAGCATTAATTCCACCTCATAACTCAAGAATTGCCAAGTTTCATCTTTTGTATCATCTTTGATCTCACATTTTTGAGTGTCGGTTACGCTGTGTCTGTTACGTAACCGACACAATTTGGCAGGGCCGCCATGTTTGCGTGGACCTTCAGCAGTCCCGCGGGAAGCGCTGATACCTGATTCAATGGCTTGTTTATCAATCACTTTAACTTTGCACTGAATCAAAATAGAGCGTGCCAAAGCTGGAAAAAGGAAGTTTACTACCTTTAGAATGAGGTAATGAAATCCTGTTAAAATTGGTGCACTTTTATTTCTCAGGTATTTCACATTTTAACTATTCCTGTTATCGTGAAATCACCCATATGCAACTTTCCCTCAATGGAGGGACGTAAGATTTACCATTCTTTGATGTAATATGAACAGTAGGGTGTCCCACTTTGGACCTTAAAAAAAAATTGCGAAATTCAACCGAGATACTTGCCAAAAACTTGTCTCATGGTTAGAATAAAATCACTAAAAAATCTCAGGGTCGTAGCTGAAGGGTGGTCGCGCAAGGCACTTAAGTGGTTTCACCGATTTCTCATCAAAAAATTTAAACAATAAGCGCAAAGTTTAATATCAACGAAAATGACCAAAGTGACTTTCTAGCACCTCTAATGGACATACTTGAAGGACTTTTGCTCCTCCGATGGGATCATTGTGAAACAACGCGTCGAATGCCGCTAAATTTAAGTCGAGCAGTGGTTTGACTATAAAATGCTAAAATTGCTGATTTTTGCATTTTGAGAGCTAAGAACGACGGATTTCTAATCCTCGTGGGCCCAAACTGTTATTTTTCTCTTATAATATAGTATCGGAAGTCTCATTATCCGCCTTTGCGACTTTCTAGCACGATTGCATTTACCGAAAAAAAATCGCCAAGATGAGAAATCGGTAAAACCACTTAAGTGGCTTGCGCGACCACTTGACCTTTAGCTACAACCCTGAGATTTTTCTGTGATTTTTTTCTAAACATGAGACAAGTTTTTGGCAAGTATCTTGGTTGAAATTCGCAATTTTTTTTTTATGAAGGTCCAAAGTGGGACACCAATATGAACAGTTTGGAAAAGAAACATGAATTTCGAAGCTTCAGATTGTGATGGAGACAAAATCTATTAAGGTCGATTTATCGATAAGGTCGACAAAATCTGTTAAGGTCTATGATTTTTCGAACTTGTCCAAACGTGGTCGGCGATACCTCCATAGACTCATCGCAAGGTAGATTTACACAGGTATGGAAAAGTTGAAAATTTCCCATGATGACTACGTGATGTAGGTTAAGGGGCCCGTTTTTTAATTAAATTACAATCAAAATAACATGCAAACGTTTGTGCGTTTAAACGTTAAAATTAATATCGCATTATCAAAATTGTGCAAAAAATCCCACAAAATTTTGACAAACGATAAACCGAACATAATAAATCAAAATAATCAAAACATTCAAAATGGCTGACGTTAAGGGGCCGCTGGAGAGCCAATCAGAGGCCAGTTGTTAAGTTCTGTCCATACCTGACTCATCAAGTTCTACCCTTCAAAATAATCTCTTTGAACCTGCCCTCTGAAACCAACCCTTCTCCCGAAAATTTAAGTCAAAAAGGGGATGATTAATTGAATCCATCCATTCTGAGTATGTTTAGCCCCTAATACCTACCTCTCAACTCAACATTTGTCTCGTCTTGGCCTTCCGAAAAAACCTCCATGCACCCCCCCCCCCCCTTAAAATCACCCCTTCTCCTGAAATCTCAAGTCCAAAAGGGGGCAGATTTTTTGAACTTATCCAAACTCAGTCCGTGTGTATATACGGAAGAAACTCATTACAAACTCGGGTTTCGTGAAACCTCGGTTTCGAGCCTCGCATAAACGTAGCTAGTCTATAGTGTAAAAAATAAGGTTTCAAACACAAAGAGCGACGCCAAAAACGACCGTTTTTTGGCACAATTTGGGTCAGCGAGGATTTTTCTGAAACCGGGCCCAAACGATACCTTATGATACCCTAAAACTCTGGTAAAAATTTAAGCCTGAGTTTACGCACGGTTATTGAGAAATGGGGGGGGGGGCAAAGTTGCCAAACCTCCATCATTCTGGACAGCATTTTTACAGCAAAAAGACGGGAAAATGGACGAAAAAGTTACACCTTTGTTGGGTTTTGGCTGTAAATGTTTTTATTGGGCCCCCAAGCAAACAACTGTATTCAGTCTCAAAAATTTCGGTCGCAAAGTGGTCCAAAATGGGGAGAAATCGTAGACAAATCAGGATTCTTTGTCAAATTTTTAAAAATGGTGGAAATAAAATTGTCGGTCTCCTGCAGTTTCCGTGGCTAACGATGTTTTTATCAGTCCTTAATGCATTAAATTGTG